ACTAACTTTCTGGTGTTTGAAATGGAACAAACCCTCTTACTCTGGAGATAATTTTTCCACCAGAGGACATCTTGAATGGTATCATTTTTCTTTTGGGGAGTGTCTGTTTTTTTAAATGGTTAATTTGATATATTATTAAATGTGTCACCACTCCCAATTAAAATTTCTTCTGCACAAGCCAGGTGCTACTCTCAGTATTGCAATGGCTTAAAAAAAGGAAACTATGAAAGATTTTTCACATCAATGGACATGGTGGAGCCAGAAAATTAATTATATTCCTTTTAGATGAATCTTATATGGGTCAACAGATTTATTCAGAGTTACTTAAAAAGCAGTTAACATTCCATTAGCAACAAACTGTGATCTGTGTCAGCAATAAGACAATCTTCAGTCATTTATTTTAGTGCAAGAAGTCACTTCAGAAAAAATGCAATTATTGAATATTTAAGAGGCAAATAAATACAGAGCCAAAATTTAGTCATTTTTCTTACAGAATTATGGACATTATATTTGATTCTTTGCTTCATTTAATCAAAACATTTGGCTATTTTATTTTTGTCAGTTTATGATCCGGAAAGATGAAATGATTTTTTTTTTTTTAAAGAACAGTAAAGCTAACATTTTTAAAGAGTTCATAGCAACAGCTTCAGTAACAAATGTTTGTAGTTACTGCACAAAGAGGATGGGAGTTGGTCTTTGGGGTTTCCCAAGCCTGTGCTGTGGGGCAGGGGCACTATCAGACATGAAGAGAAGCCTGGCCTCAGATGCTGGGGAATCTCAGAGAGGCCAGCATTGAGGCCCATTAATGTCCAATGCCCTTCACCTTAACTGTACTGGGCTTAACTTCAGCCCCTACACTTTTAGAATTTCTCTTGGTATTGAGAGGATAGAAGCAGATAGTAGGAAAATCCCAAAGGGGTCTGTTAGTCATTCTGAAGTCAGCTTCCCATAGAAAAGAGAGATTCATAGAGCCAAGCCCCTTTTGACTGTTGAAATAAATGGATGACAAGGATGCTGGAAGAAACTGAAAGCATCCATGTTATTTTTTTCTCTGAGTTAATTAAATGAATATGAAATGAACCTCTTCTCCTAGGAAGATGGAGTAATTTTATTTATCCATTTCCCTCCCAATAAGTACAACTAAAAACTATATCTATCCTATATAATAAAACCCTAATATGCAAATCGGCCAAACAGTGGAATGACCAGAACGACCGGTTGCTATGATGCACACTGACCACCAGGGGGCAGACACTCAACGCAGGAGCTGCCTCCTGGTGGTCAGTGTGCTCCCACAGAAGGGGCGCCACTCAGCCAGAAGCCAGGCTCATGGCTGGCGAGTGCAGTGGCGGTGGTTGGAGCCTCTCCTGCCTCCACAGAGGCGCTAAGGAGCAGAAGCCAAGCAGTAAGAAGCAGCAAGCAGGCAGGCAGTAAGGAGCGAGGGGTCCCAGACTGTGAGAGGGATGTCTGACTGCCAGCTTAGGCCCAATCTCCCTGGGAAGTCAGACATTCCCTGAGGGGTCCCAGACTAGGAAAGGGCACACGCTGGGCTGAGGGGCCCCCCACCCCCGTGCACGAATTTCATGCACCGGGCCTCTAGTATACATATATCTATCTCTATATATCTAGATGGATGGATGGATGGATGGATGGATGGATGGATGGATATAACTATGAAAGATGGAGAGAAGGTAGACTAGTTAAGAAAAACCTTGGAACTCAAGAAAGAACCAGGAAAAGGTCAGCCTAGCAGACAACTGAGACATTAACTTCTCTACTCCAGTGAAATACCATTGAGAAAACTGTGGTCTCACACTAACCAGTTAGGGCCAAATGGAAGCCTACACCTTTACACTCACCCTTGCCAGGCTGTAATGAAGTTCCACCACTGCCTACTGGAGTAGCTTTCATACTCATCCCTGCTAGGTAGTAAGAAGGCTCTGTTCCCCACACTGCTAGAGAGACTGCATGAAAGGCCTGAACAACTATTCACACCCTGTAGTAATAAGACGTCCTGCTGCTTCCAACTGGGTTGGTGGAGAGACAGGACTGCCACCACCACTCACTCATGATGGGGACACCCTCCTTGTGCTGTCACCAGAGGCCATGTGAGTAATAAGAACTAGGCACTCCTAGCCCTCCTGTCATAGAACTGTCATTGGAAACCCAGTGGTGAGCATGAGCATCAATGGAGGCTGAGGGAGAAACCTGGACTTCTACCCTCACTTGGCAGTAATAAGTTGGTGTCTCATCTTCTCCTGCTGGCATGCTAGCATACGAAAACAACTACAACAGGTTTAAATAAGATTCAGGATCTCATAACAGAATACCTAAAATGTTTCAAATAAATATCCTTCATATCAATAACCGGAAAGATTTTAATTTGAATAAAAAATACAGTAAGTGCCAGCACCAAATTGGCAGGGATCTTAGAATTATCTGACAAAGATTTTAAAGCAGCCATCTTCGACAAACAATAAAATAAAATCTTCAATAAGAAATTGTGAACATGTCTGAAATAATAGAGTCTCAGCAAAGAAACAGAAAGATAGCTGAGAAATCGGTGATATAAGGAGGAACCAAATAGAAATTTTAGAATTGAAAAACACACTAACTGAAATTAAAAAATCCATTGGATAGCACATAATCTCACCTAAGAAAAGAGAGGCATGTAAATTGACCATCCTTCTGCTACGCCCACCAGCCAATCAGGAGAGTATGCAAATTAACCCAAAAAAGATGGTGGGTTAATTTGCATACACAGGTGTCCAGTAGCCTGGGTCCTGGGAACATCATCAGCACCCAGGTCACTCTGAGGTAGGCCCCACGTGGGCCCTGAACAGCTTAGGAAGGGCCTGAGCCAGGGGGCTCCTGGGCAGGGCCGAGCCTGTGATCAGAGGTGAGGAGGGCCCTGTCCAAGCCTAAAGCCTCGGCCAGAGGCTTTAGGCCTGGGAAGGGGTGGAGCTGGCCATTGGAGCCGCAGGGGTGGAGCCGGCAATAGGAGGGAGCTGGGGAGCCCCTACCCAGGCCCTGAGGCTTTAGGCCTGGGCAGGGGCCGAGCCAGCGATTGGTGTGAACTACAGAGGAAACACCTTTTCTGACTGCTCATTGGCTAAGCTCCCTGTATGCCACTGGTAATATTCTTAGTAACTTGGGTAATAATAATCCACAAAGGTTATCTAGGGTTTTTTCACCACACTCTTGGAGAAAAAACAAAGGTCTGCTGCTGGAGGGCTAAGAAATGTCATATCTTGCCCTAGCCGGTTTGGCTCAGTGGATAATGCCTCAGCCTGCCAACTGCAGGGTCTGGGTTCAATCCTGACCAAGGGCATGTACCTAGGTTGCAGGCTCCTCCCTGGCCGGGGTCCAGGTCAGGGCTCATTCAGAAGGCAACCAAACAAAGTGTTCCTCTTACTTTGATGCTTCTCTCTGTCTTTCCCTTTCTCTTCCACATTCTCTAAAAATCAATGGAAACATATCCTCAGGTGAGGAAAAAAAAAAAGAAAGAAATTTCATATCCTATGAAAGACACATTTTAAAAATACCTAAAGTCATTTTTTCATGGTGAAGGGACTGGAGTCCGTATTCATGAAAACACCTTGGTGGCTGCGTGACTGGCAGTGGCTGCAGCAGCGGGGTGATGGGGCTGGTGCCTTCCCCTGATCAGCCCAGTCGCCTCCCACAAAGGGAGGCCAGACTGCGGCTTATGGCTGCTCTCCAAGGGGAGCAGGGAGCGGGCCTAAGCCATCAGTAGGACATCCCCTGAGGGCTCCCAGTATGTGAGAGGGGGCAGGCTGGGCTGAGGGACCCCCCCCCGCCAGTGCACAAATTTCGTGCACAGGGCCCCCAGTAGTTCAAATAATAGACATAAGAAATGGTGAATCCTTCCATCTTGTATGCTAATTTTACCATTAATGTTTTGAAGACTCATAAGCAACATCAACATGAGAAATTGAGCAACACCAGTAATAGAAAGAGTATTGTCATCAAAGTCACATTTTTCAGTTTTACTATAAATGTACTCTTGTATTTTAAAAGTGATAAAAAAAAAAGTTGTGGTACATTTATACAATGAAATAGTATGCAGCTGTAAAAAAGAAGGATCTCTTACCCTTTGAGACAGCATGGAGGGAACTGGAGAGTATTATGCTAAGTGAAATAAGCCAGTCAGAGAAAGACAAGTATCACATGATCTCACTCATATGTGGAATCTAATGAACAAAATAAACTGATGAACAAAATAGGACCAGAGGCATGAATGCATGGGACAGAATAACAGATCTCAGTGAGGGGGGGGGGGGGGGCAGAAGGGATGGGAAGAGATTAACCAAAGAACATATATGCATAACCCATGGACACAGACAATAGTATGGGGAAGGTCTGGGAGGATGGGGGTTGGGGGGCAAAAAGGGAGAAAATAGGAGACATTTGTAATACTGTCAACAATAAAATAAAAGGAGATCATGAGCTATTACTATGAAACATTTGATGTCATGTGAAGAATATCATGGCCTAGAGGTGAAAAAAACATTATTTAGAAAGTGAAGAGTTTCTGTGCTCACTGAGAAAATCTGAGTAAGTATGGTTTGTAACATTCTATCTATCTCTTGCTTATGCAATTTAAAAATAGCTACAGGCCCTGGCTGGGTAGCTTAGTTGGTGATAGCATAATCCCAATACACCAAAGTTGTGGGTTCGGTCCCCAGTCAGGGCACACAAAAATCAACTAATGAATGCATGAATAAGTGGAAAAACAAATTGATGTTTCTCCCTCTAAAAATCAATTTTAAAAAAAGTAAACCAATTCCAACATTTGCATCACCTCCATTAACCCAGAAAGTAAGTATAACATATTCAGAGAATACATTTAACATAAAAATAAAATATATAAGGCCTATTATCATTGAAATATTATTCCTCAGAAAGTCAAAAAATGAAATAACAATCATGAAAGTATGTTCAATTCTACTTAAGACCAAGAAATATTTTGGGGAAAATCTTTATTTATTCTTCAAAATCAAAGACTCTCCCTTGACGGTAGAGGACGCCCCTGTCCTTACAATGTTATTATTTTCTTTGATAAAATTGTGCTGAGTAACTGTCCTGTCGTCAAAGTTCTTGTTAGTTGCATCAATTTTGGGTTTGACATTCTTTGGTGGCTTGGTGTTTTGGGGTAATCCATTGACAGCATACAAATAGTACATATCGGCCGTCTGGAAACAGAGAGAAAGAAATTTTATACAAAATGTGTAGGAACTGAGAAAACTGTAGGAAAAAGTTTACCAAATCAATACCTCTCTTCTTTATGTAAGGTATAGGAAAAGTACAAACTGAAATAACACAGATAAAAGCAAATAATTGACATGGAAAATAAACTTAGGAAAGCATTTGGTTTTATGCATTCACTAAAAAGGCCCTCACAGAGTTCTGCCCTGTGAACAAAGTAAATTTCCATCTGTTGTAAGCAGAAGCAATCTATTGGTTTTCATGAAACTGTTGCCCAACAGGAACTATAACCAATGGTAACAATGCATTGCAAGGTGACCCTATATGTGAGAATTTGAGTGTGGCTATAGAAATGACTGGTAAGAAATGTGGTGCTTCTTGTTTTAGATTATGAAAGTACATAATTGATATAACAATGAGAAATTACGGAGCATGGTGTAAAATTATTAATGACAATTACAATCTAAATCCAAGTCAGTACAACTTATACAGGGATTCATTTTATTTTATTTTAAATATATTTTTATTGATTTCAGAGAGGAAGGGAGAGGGAGAGAGAGATAGAAACATCAATAATGAGAGCGAATCATTGACTGGCTGCCTCCTGCATGTGCCCTTGACTGGAAATGAACCTGGGACCCTTCAGTCCGCAGGCTGATGCTCTATCCCCTGAGCCAAACCAGCTAGGGCCAGGGATTCATTTTAAAATCGTTAATTTCTTCTGGATTATTCAGAGTATGGCAATATTAAATTAGGCAGTCTAGCTTTTTCTGCATGTTCATGTTCATACTTAAATCCCATTGCTCTTCCAGAATTTCCTGATGCTACGTGTTCATCTAGGACAGTGGTTCTCAACCTTTCTAATGCCGTGACCCTTTAATACAGTTCCTCATGTTGTGGTGACCCCCAACCATAAAATTATTTTCATTGCTACTTTATAACTGTAATTTTGCTACTGTTATGAATCATAATGTAAATATCTGATATGCAGGATGTATTTTCATTGTTACACACTGAACATAATGAAAGCATAGTGATTAATCACAACAACAATATGTAATTATATATGTGTTTTCTGATGGTCTTAGGCGACCCCTGTGAAAGGGTCATTTGACTCCCAAAGGGGTCGCGACCCACAGGTTGAGAACCACTGATCTAGGATGTCTTCCTTGCGGTAAGATTTATACCACAGATGTTCAGAAAACTCATTAGGATACATCCAGGCCAAGTGAGTATTGTGGTATCATCAGGGATTAACATCTATCAGAATGTTAAGTGCAGGCATTGTTTGCACATCTGAAATGGCCCTATTTTAATAATAATTGGCCCTTCTATCTAGTGTTCATAATAATTATGTATTCAAAATCAGAGTCAAAAGTGGAACAAACCAAGAACCCACTATAACAATTGAGTTAACTAACATTTTACTTCATATAAGATGTTCAATTGAAAAACAAAGCTACACTTCGGTGATTGTAAGTTTGTACATTTACAAGCAAGTGGCTTCATGAGGGCAAATGGATAAGCTACATCAAGAGATCCACACTGCCCTGGCTGGGTGGCTCAGTTGGTTGGAGCATCATCCCATACACTAGAAGGTTGCAGGTTTGATTCCCGGTCAGGGCACATACAGGAGGCAGCTGATTGATGTCTCTCTCTCACATCAATGTTTTTCTCTTCCTCTGTCTTTCTTTCTTTTCCTCTCTCTCTAAAATCCCTATGCATAGCTAAGTTTCAGATAGGTGTACATCCCTTCATATAGCTCACTCAGGTGTATTCACTGTGCCTGAAGGTGGTTATGATTTTTGTCTTTTAGAGATTAAAAGAAAATATTTTCAGATAAAAGGATGTCTTGTATTTTCTTCAAAATACTATGGAAAGTTGGGAAGGGAGTGGGAATATACTTGAAGCAGAATTGGCCATGAATTGATATGTTCATACTTTATTTTAAGTGCATGAAGATGAATTATTCTATTTCTACACATATTTGGAATTTTCCATAATAAAAAGAGAATCAACGTGTTTCAATTTCAATTTCTCCCACATAACTTTTATCAAACTGTACCACTTTGTGACTAAATGTCATGTTCTCAGCTGATGCCATATACCAACTTACTCTCTTACAAAAAACCTTCATTTCCACTGCCAGTGATTAAATTGTCAAATCAACACAGGGAAACGAGGCACAGATTTTGTTGGCAAAGTCTCATATTTAATTTCAGAAATTCCACTGTACACTAGATAAAATGAACACCATTTTATTTTATTTTTGAAAAAATTTTAAATTATATTTTTATTGATTTCAGAGAGGAAAGGATAGATAGAAACATCAATGATGAGAGAGAATCATCGATAGGCCACCTCCTGCACACCCTGCACTGGGGATCGAGCCTGCAATCTGGGTATGTGCCCTGACCAGGAATCAAAACGTGACCTCCTGGTTCATAGGTCCATGCTCAACCATTGAGCCACAACAGCCGGGCAAAAAATGAACACCATTTTAATTTGGAAATCTCATTTTAAAGATGTCCTTTAAGCTCCTTAGATTAAAAGTGTGCTCTTATTTCTTGAGAAGTAGGCACACCGACTTGATCATTTTAAATCAAGTATCAATGCAGCAAAGGGCTGTGTGCAGCAAGGCTCCAGAAGCTTTATCTTTTATTTACCTGGGCGACAAGAACTCTCAGAAAGATGACCAATACAAATACTTTTCTCAGGCAATACTCAACATTATTCTTTTCTCTGTTCATTGAAGCAGTAACAGCACATTTTTCTGCCCACGGCATTTCCTAATTAGTGTCTTATTTAGAAGTCTAGTGATCACTTTGGTATCAAAAATTGTATCATGCCAAGACCGGTTTGGCTCAGTGGATAGAGCGTCGGCCTGCGGACTGAAAGGTGCCGGGTTCGATTCCGGTCAAGGGCATGTACTTGGGTTGCAGGCACATCCCTGGTGGGAGATGTGCAGGAGGCAGCTGATCGATGTTTCTCTCTCATCGATGTTTCTAGCTCTCTATCTCTCTCCCTTCCTCTCTGTAAAAAATCAATAAAATATATATTAAAAAAAATTGTATCATGAATCATGACTATATGTCCTTTGTGGATGTGCTACTGAAATAGACAGTGGTATTTTTTTCATAATTTGAAAGTTATCTTCAGCCTAAATGGTCTTAGTAAAATATATGTAAAATTTTATGGAGAAATTTTGCTTACTGGATAAATTTTCAAAATTATGTTTATGTTACCTTTATTGCTGAATGAAAGGGTTAAAGAGAATAAAACAGGGCAGAGAAAACTTATTGTGCTTAGCAGATGTCTTGCAGAAAGCTTGCAGCCTTGAACACCGCATAGCTTAGATAATCACTAGCCATCTGGCACAGGGAGGAGCCAAGGATGGATTGGACCCTTATGTCAGCAGAATGGTTTGCAGCCAGCAAGGATTAATAGAAGTCTGCCTCCCCCTTCAGTATCCGCTGACTCCTTTTTGTTGGACTCAGCCCACCTGCACCCAGGTGCCTGAAATTAAAATCTCGTTTGATACATTATGGCCCCATGTCATAGGTGTGTGACCCTGGCCCACTCCAAACCTTTTACTGCAAGTATCATAAATGTTCACTTCCTCCCGCGCCCCCCCCCCCCCCCGTTGGCCCCTTCCACCTCACTCCTCCTCCCCTCACTGCATTATTATCTGTGTCCATGGGTTACGTATACACATTTTTCAGTTAACGTCTTCCTTCCCCTTCTCTTGTCAGTCTGTTCCATGCTTCCATGTCATATCTGGATCTATTTTGTTCATCAATTTATTTTGTTCATTAGATTCCACAGTTGAGTGAGATCATGTGATACTTATCTTTCTCTGACTGGCTTATTTTGCTTAGCGTAATACTCTCCAGGTCCCTCCATGCTATCTCAAAGGGTAAGGGATCCTTCTTTTTTACTGCTGCATAATATTCCATTATATTAACTCTTAATGAAATGATAGCTTTTTATTAATGACCCATTTCATATTATGTTTTTTCAATTCAAAATAAATTTTACCTCTAATTAACTTTCTCCATTTCAGACTTTAACATTTTGACAACACCTTATACCTTAATTAAAGATTCTGAAAATTTCTATCTCAAATCACCTAAAGTTCTTGAATAGGTTATTATAGACAACATTGTTAGTATACAAATCACTTTGCAGTCATCATTTGTCTCTTCCATGTTTCCTCTGTATGGAAGGAAAATCATTTCTTACTTCCCACTGGTGATGACAACTTTTTGTTATAGTCCATAATTAAAAGTTCTTTACTGGACAAAAGAAAATTCAAATAAAACAGAGCAATTGAAATATGTTGACTTTTGCAAGATAATGTTGCTCTTTTTTAAAAAATATTTTTATTGATTTCAGAGAGGAAGGGAGAGGGAGAGAGAGAGAGATAGGACCATCAATGATGAGAGAGAATCATTGATTGGCCGCCTCCTGCACGCCCACACTGGGGATCGAGCCCACAACCTGGGCATGTGCCCTGACCGGGAATCAAACCATGACCTCCTGGTCCATAGGTCGACACTCAACCACTGAGCAATGCCTGCCGGGCATGTTGCTATTCTTTATCTGTGACCATTAGGTGTAACCTTTCCTCCCTAGATCACTCAATGCCTTTAGGGACATCATAAATCCATAACAATTGCCTTTATAGAACTCACCTGTATTACTAATCTTGCTTTATATTTTCTGCCATACATTTGGGGTTTAAAACCCACCAGGAGGGTAATCCCATTACTGTCAAAAGGAGGAATTTCTCCAGACTCAGGTTTTACGAAAAACTCAGGATCACTGTCAGGTAGGAAGTATGCCACGAAGTCATCAGCATATCTGAAACAAAAATGTAAGTATCATCTTTAAATTTGATCATTACCTCATTTTCTTTGTGAGAACTTGATGAATAGAGTTTATATCCTTCTGTAATGGACTGCAGTGAAACACTAATGCTGCCATGCAGTGGTGAGTCTGATACTTGTAACTTTTTGGAATGCTCACAGAGTAACAGCGAGGAAGCATTTTAAAAATTATTGAAGGGTCATTCTTCCCAGGGTGACAAAATAGAATCTTAAATATTTTTTCAATCACATATTTATAGTCTACAAAGAATAAAGTTTTTTTTGCTATACAAATTGGAATAACTCAATGCCCCAAATGAAAATTCAGTCATTTGTAAAGAAATTAATATCTGAAATGTCTCACCTCAACAGCTATTGTAAAGCCATTGTTTTTACTTCTATTTCAATGTGCTATTTGCTCACTCTCCTTTCATTTTCCACGTGTGAAGTGAGATGAAAGTAGTTTACAGGCTCATTAAAGATTCTTGGGCCAGAAGATAGGTTGCTATGATCTGAAGTGAACTGAGTGACATTTAAGATTCAAGTGACCATCTTCCTGTCAAGGTTGATTACATTGCAATGAAGGCTGTGAAAGAAGGTGAGGAACTTCTTGGCAGAACAAAGCAGGAGAGAGGTAAAGTGCATGGAAGGTTGTAAGTGAGAAATTAAATTCAAACTGACAAGGGAGATGCAGGTAGAAAAACAGATCCACCAGTGAAACATAGAAGGAGATATGGGAGGTTCAGGTTGGGACTTACTCATCCATTCAGCAAATATGTATTGAGTATCTTGGCAGATGGTTTGAAAAAGTGGACTTTGGATATTGATGGCCTAGATTGAAATTGTAGCTCTATCTAGATGCATGACTTCAGGCAATTTACTTAACTTTTTTGTGCCTTAGTTTTCATATTTTTAAAATGAAGTTAATTCCTATAAAGTCATTCAATCTGCCAAAGCCGGTTTGGCTCAGTGGATAGAGTGTCGGCCTGTGGACTGAAAGGTCCCCGATTCGATTCCGGTCAAGGGCATGTACCTTGGTTGCGGGCACATCCCTAGTGGGAGATGTGCAGGAGGCAGCTGATCGATGTTTCTCTCTCACCGATATTTCTAACTATCTCTCTCCCTTCCTCTCTGTAAAAAATCAATAAAATATGTAAAAAAATAAAATAAAAAGTCATTCAATCAGTGAGAACAGCACCATATAAGGATTAATAAAAATTAATGTAGTCATCATCATGAGTGTTTTTGCTTTAAAACATGTTATTACTGGTGCTAGGCATTGATACATATTCTAATTCTGAACAAAGTCCAGTACTGGAAATACAAAAGACAGAGGACACATTAGAAAGAAATAAAAAAACCTATATATTGTCTAAGAAATATATATATAAAACTTGGCTGGAAAGATAAGGCAGATGTATCGAAAGAAAAACAATGATTATTGATTCACACAATACTATAGGAGTTTAAGATTTTATTGTGATGAGAAGAACAATGAGTAGAATTCAGAAAGTTGGAGAGGCGATAAGAAGGGCATTTAGAAGCAGAAAGAAAATGAAGACAAGTAAGAAATAGTAATGGATAAGACAGGCTCTGAGAATAGTTACTTTTTTTTCCATATGACTGAAAAAGAAGATCTATTCTAGACAGCAAGGAGAGGAAATCTTGAAGGTCTGAGTGGGCTAGGACCATGATGAACTGCATATATAATTTAGATGCTACCTTGGCTAAGAAACACAGAACTATTAAATGCTTTTGACAAGAGAAGTTATATGCATGTTAATAACATTGTTTTAAGGATATTGGTTTTACTATAATGTATAAAATGGGTTGGAATGAAAGGATACATATGGAATTAGAAGTAGCAAATTTTGTTACAACATTGTTTATAATTGAAAAATATAACTTGGGTGTCTTATTCCAAATGTTGTTTTGTTCCAATACTACATTTGAGCAAATTATTGGTAATGAGGAAACCATTTCACCAACTCTGAAAAATTTTTTGAATGCATTAAATCAATTTACATTTAAACCAAAATATCTAATAACTTGAAATATTTTTGGAAGTTGTGAATAAGACTACAATGGATTCAAGACAGCTAAGTATGCCCGGCCAGTTTGGCTCGGTGGTTGAGCGTTGACCCATGAACCAAGAGGTCAGCGGTTTGATTGCAGGTCAAGGCATATGCCCAGGTTGCAGACTTGATCCCCAGTAGGGAATGTGCAGGAGGCAGCCAATTGATGTTTCTCTCTCATAAATGTTTCTATCTCTCTATCCCTTTCCCTTCTTCTCTCTCAAAATCATTAAAAATACATATATATTTTAAAAAAAGACGGCTAAGTGAAACCCACTCCTATCCAATGCGAAAGCTCCAAACATACATGTAATTGTCCATCATTCATTTTGAACTAAGTACAGAAAATGCATCCAGGCATGCCCAGTACCTTTGAGGATTTAATTTCTATGACACACACAGGGGCCACCCTTCGCCATCATGAAACACAGGCATGGAAGCCATTTGTTTTAGAAATGAAGAAAACCAGTAAGTTAAGTGCTACCTTCACCTATTCCACTCCTCACATCTTGTGTAGCACAAATGGGGAATGTGCTCACTATGATCCAGTAACATAAAATCCATCACTGCCCACTCATCAAGATGTCAGTCTTCCCAATTGATCTATAGATTCTATTTGATTCCAATCAAAATCCCAGTCAGTTATATTATGGCTATCAACAAATGGATTCTAAAGTTCATAGGGAGAGGTGAGAGACTCAATAGTCAGCTCAATATTGAAGGAGAGCAAAGTTGGAGGACTGACACTCCTTGACTTTAAGACTTACTATAAAGTTATAGTAATTAAGACAGTGTGGCATTGGTGAAAGAATAGATAAATAGGTCATGGAGCTTAAGAAACTCCAGATATAGTCATAAATAGAGTCAAGTGATCTTTCACAAAGGAGCAAAGGCTGTATAATGGAGCAAAGATAGTCTCTTCAACAAATGATGCTGGAACATTAATGCAAAAACAAACCTTACACTCTTCTCAAAAATAGACAAAGTCAAAATGTATAGTAAACCTAAATGTAAAACACAAAACTATAAAACTCCTGGAAGTTATGATGAGAGAAAATCAAGATGACCTTGGGTATAGTGATGCCTCAGTAAATACAACAGCAAAGACACAATTCATGAAAGAAATAATAAATAAACTGAACTTAATTAAAATTAAAAAGTTCTACTCTATGAAAGACAATATCAAGGGTACAAAATACACATCTGATAAAAGACTGTTATCAAAAATATACAAAGAACTCTTAAAACTCAACAATGAGAAAACAAACAGCCCATTTTAAAAATGGGCCAAGGACCTTATCATATACCTCAGCAGAGAAGATATGCAGACAGCAATAAGCATTTGAAAAGATACATCCCATCATATGTCATCAGGAAAATGTAAACCAAAACTACAATGAGATCCACTATACTTCCATTAGAGTGGTCAAAATCCAGAACACTGACACCATCAAATGCTAGTGAGGAAATGGAGTAACAGGAACATTCATTCATTGTTGGTGGGAGTGCAAAACGGTACAACCACTTTACAACACAATGTGGAGATTTCTTACAGAACTAAAAACACTCTTACCGCAGAATCCAGAAATTGTGCTACTTGGTATTTACCCAAAGAAGTTGAAAACTTTATATCCACACTAAAATCTGCATCCAGCCCTAACTGGTTTGGCTCAGTGGATAGAGCATTGGCCTGTGGACTGAAGGGTCCCAGGTTCGATTCCGGTCCAGGGCATGTACCTTGGTTGCAGGCACATCCCCAGCGGGGGGTATGCAGGAGGCAGCTGATCGATGTTTCTCCCTCATCAATGTTTCTAACTCGCTATCCCTCTCCCTTCTTCTCTGTAAAATATCAATAAAATCCTATCTAACAATAGGCAGCAAATAAAAGCTTTCCTGATATTGTGTGTGGGAATGGGGGTTAACTGCAAAGGGGCTTGAAAGAATTTTTTTTGTGGGGGGGGGGGGGATGGGAGTGTAATTAACTTGGAATGTGGTTATGATAGAAAATTCTATAAATTAAAAAAAAAATACTGAAAGGTACATTTACAATGGGGGAGCTTTATGGTATGCACATTATCCCTAAAAAAAAAAAAGCTGTAAAAACATATTTCACATGTGAGACAGGTAAAATGATTGTGGTCATGGTGCCTATGTTATCACAAGTATAACAAAGATATCCATGGTTAAGGAGAATAATCATACAGAAATTGAATCAATATAAGTTACCCAATCATCTCTATTTAGATAATCCCAAACCATTAACATTTATTGTAAAACATTCTAAAACATCCCATTTATCATTCAAAAATACATTAAAGTATCATTTGAAAAACAAATAGAAACATTATCCTAAATTTCAATATCTGTTTACTTTTGCTTCTTGTTTTTTGGTCTTCACCTTTAGGGCCTATTTTTAAATTTTTAAATAAAAATTATGAAACATATAGAGCTTTGACTCATAGAAGCAATACTGCTCTGACTTAACCAGCAAAAGATGAAATAATAGAATTTTTCATCTTAAATTCTGTTTACCAGTTTAGCATAAATTACATTCATAAAACCAGTTGCATACCCTTGCGTGATATATATTACCTTTTCCGACCGGACAGCCAGAATTCAGTAACAGCTTCCTTAAATAAACCTTTTCCTTCAATATTAATTACATCATCCACCTCAGGCTCAGTAGCAATCAATGTTACGGGAAAGTTCCAGATCCCATCTGTTATACACTCTATTTTTAGTATAATTTGAGACCTTGAATAGAAAAAGAGATTATAACACAATCTATAGGAAAATAAGCAAAGAGAATACAGTATAATAGATTTATATCTAAGGTCAAAGTTTAAGCAAACCTTGTGGTTTTAGTAAAAACACTGCGACTTTTAATTCTTAAAAAATGTAGATGGCTGTTAATTGCACTTATAAGTTTTAGGTCACAGGTTATATTATCATTCTCCTTTTGAGGTAATTATTTTGTAGCACATCTTATCTACTCTGTAGGTATTTACTAAAATCCAGAAACATATGTAGATTTGACTGTGAAAATTTTCTGTGACCAGCAAAGGAGAGGTTGGTAAATGGTCCCAAGTGTTATGCTAATAGGAGATCCATATGGGAATTTTTGGTTCAAAGTGAAACACTGTGGCCCAGCTGACATGGCTCAGTGGTTGAGTGTTGACCTATGAACCAGTAGATCACGCTTTGATTCCCGGTCAGGGCACATGCCAAAGTTGCAGGCTCATTCCCAGTGTGGGGCATGCAGGAGGCAGACAATCAATGATTCTCTCTCATCACTGATGTTTCTATCTCTCTCTCCTTCTCCTTCCTCTCTGAAATCAATAAAAAAAAGTTTTTTTTAAAGAAACAAAATGAAACACTGAAAAAAATTTCAACCCTTGCTTCACATAGAGAAAAATATTTTCTGCAAATACTTACCAAAGCCCCATAAAACTGACTTAAATTGAAACTTATAAAAATTATATTGTAATTGATAAAGATCACAAACCCCTTACACAATAACATATAATTGAGTGGCAACTGAATTAGTGAAGAAGTAGAGAGAGCCTTTCTAAGCCTTTGGCTGTGAAGAAGAGTGGAGACAGAGTAGTTAGTAGCTGAAGTTGAGGAATAATTAATTACCTCTTTGCTTGCTTAGAGTGGAAATGACTCAAACATGTAATCATGTGGTTGCAATATCATGTCATAATGGACAAATAAATTACAACCCTCTTATGTAAAACTGTCAGGAAAAACAGTTCTTGGAACTCTTATCCTCTTTAGATAGGAGTCTAAAAGTATTCAACCGCCCTAACTGGTTTGGCTCAGTGGATAGAGCATTGGCCTGCGGGCTCAAGGGTCCCAGGTTCGATTCCAGTCAAGGGCATGTACCTTGGTTGTGGGCACATCCCCAGTAGGGAGTGTGCAGGAGGTAGCTGATCGATGTTTCTAACTCTCTATCCCTCTCCCTTCCTCTCTGTAAAAAACCAATAAAATATATTTTTAAAAAAATAAGAGTATTCAACCAGTCCAGCCGGCATAGCTCAATGGTTGAGCGTCGACCTATGAACCAGGAGGTCATAGTTCGATTCCTGGTCAGCCCATATGCCAGAGTTGCAGACTCCATCCCCAGTGTGGGGTGTGCAGGAAGCAGCCAATCAATGATTATTTCTCATCATTGATGTTTCTATCTCTCCCTCTCCTTTCCTCTCTGAAATCAATAAGAATATATTTTTTTTAAAAAAGAAAAAAGAAAGCACAATCTTTTTTTTTAAAAAAGTATTAGACCATTTGGGTAACAATTGGACAATAACATACCACATTTTAAAGCTGCACACACTAAACCAGGAATTTCACAATTAGTAATTTCCCCCAGAGATATGCATCGACTATTTCAAGAAGTTACATGTATGAGGATGTTCATTGCTACATTATTAATACTATAAAAAAAAAAAAACTGGTGCCAAAAATTTAAAAATAACCCTTTGATAGAGTTGCCGGTAACAATAATGTATACTGAAATGAAACAGTGGACTTAGTCCATGATGACTGATATATCTTATTATATGCAAACATATATGCAAAATGTAAATGCTACTCCTACACCACTCTCACACTCTCCTATCTTAGTGAATGAAACTATATTCCTCTCGGCACTATTTCAAGAGCACTAATTTGATAACTCGTCTTCCTGCTTCTACTCTTGCCATCTTCCAAAAAGGAGAGGTCTTCCATAATTTCAAGCTATTGTTTTATTTTGGTTTTTATTATTTAACTCTGTATCTTCCTTTGAACCATCCCAAATTCATTTGGAGCATGAAATGGCAGAAGTAAATGAATATGCACATATATGTACAAAATAGAACTGTTAAACAACAACAGAGCCTCACCCAGCACTTAGACATAATTTTATGAATCATGTGCACAAGTTACCCTAAGTCACCCCCTCAATTTATCCTTCAGTCATTTTCAATTGTTTCTAGCATAAAAGACAAATTCATAGCCTCAAAATACTATATGATCAGATCCTGTCCAAACTCGCCAACCTTACTTTCTCCTTTGCTTACAGAAACACTTTGCATTAGAGAAACACTGGATTCCTTACTACTAGAATTCTATAAGTAAAAATATTCTCCTGCACTTGTTTCCTATCTCAAATACTCTTTTAAGATCTTCCTATTTATAAGGTCTTTGTTCAGACATCATCTCTTCAAGGAATCTTAACTGTCCACTTATCTGATGTGCATCCTTCATAGCTCTCTATCCCCCCTTATATATTTTCTTCTCAGGACAATTTTAAATGTTATTGTTTACATATACATTTAATATTCTCATCTATTATACTCAATAGGCTATACAATCTAAAAGTACAGGGATTTTTGTCTCTTTTGAAGATGTTAAGTGATTTTTGAATAAATGAATGAACATGTTCAAATGAACAATGTTAACTAATTCATTCAGCAGGATAATCCTTGGAGTTAGTGAGAAATCACTGAGTCAAACTTTTTGGCCCATGCAAGAAAGACCACTCAGTTTCAGGGATGATCATATGAATCATTTTGTGGTCAATACTGTGGATTCCTAACAATGCACCTATGTGATATTTCTTATTCTAAGTTGTCTCCCCCAAACCCTGTAAAATTGAATGTTGGGTTCCCATTCTGTTCATTACTTGAGCAGGCAAAAATTTCCAGGAAAAAGTTGAGCTAAGATAATTACTATTTTTAAAGATGCCCTAAGACAAATGGTATCTATTATTTATCATTTTTTTTTAAAAAAGTTTAGACCTGTGTTAAATTAGAATAACCAGATTAATGACAATAGTAACTATTGATCTCTTAAGTATTTGTATTAAACCCTTAAAATTTTTTTAAATCCTCACCCGAGGATATTTTCCCATTTATTTTTAGAGAGAGTGGAAGAGAGAGAAAAAGACAGCAAGAAATATCGACATGAGATAAAAACATATTGATTGCTCGGGCCAGAAAGGAACCTGCAACGGAGGTATATGACCATGACCACAATAGAACCTGGGGCCCTTTGGTCCTCAGGCCGATGCTCTACCCACTGAGACAAACTGGCTAGGGCTAAACCCTTGATTTTTATAGAAAGAAAAAATAAAGAACTTTAGGAATAATATTCCTGTTTTTTTTCTTTGTAAAACTACCATTTAGAGTCCTGACCATTATTTTTATTACATATAATGATATTCTGTGAAAGGGTGGATGCTAAAAATTACCTTGTTACATTTTCCTTTTGAAAAACATGAAAATTTTGTTTTTCATTCTACCTTGCCAACGAGGGAGACAAGAATTGAATTTAATATTTATTTTAATTATCTAGGTAAAGCATTGGATAAAGTTATTTTTGTTCTTCTTTTTCAGAGTTTAGAGCTATTGGTTTTATATTAGTTTTTCTCATTTAACTATGTCTTGCAGTGAACCATCTCAAATGTATATAGAAGAAGGAATGACAAAGGTAAATGAATTTATAAACATATGCACAAAATAGAATTATTAAACTACATCAGAACATCACACAAAACTCACAAAAATTTATGAACTGTGCATACAAGTTACCCTAAATAAGTTTCTCAAATATTCACCAAGAAGCTCTAAATCTGTAAAATGTTACATGACTATAAATTCACATTGGTTCTGCTCATATTCACTAATAATAACATTTTCCCCTTATGGTTGTTGCCGGTAATTTCCATATCACTAAATTAATACTGCAAAGCTAAGTGTGTAAAAATACTAACAAATAAGCATAGAAAACTATAAAATTAAAGAGAAGATAAAAGGGTATAATGTCAATGTTTATAGTGTACTTTTTTCTTGAAGCTTGATTTTATTACTGCTTCCTGAAGATGACTGTGGTATCTTTTAGTTATTGGACTACATATTCAAAACCACTTTAAATATGTTTCTGGCTACATCAGATACATTGTTAAACTATAGAAATGATTAAAAGCACAAGTAATGCTTTCCATTGTTTTGTTTTGTTTTGTTTTTCATTGCCAGGCTGCATTTTGTACTTTGTGCATATGATAAGTCTTATAATAAGTATCACTGCATTAAGATATAAATAAAACACTATTTCAGATGTGACCTAACATACAGTATTTGCAGGTACTAAGTATTAGTTGCCTAAAAAAAAATAAATATAAAGACCCTGGATAAGGCTTCCCAGTGGACAGACATTTAAAGTTCGCTATTTTAAAGGATTCCAATATAATCCTCTTAAACCTTACTAGAGACTATGTGCGATGTTATGGTTTTAGGTCGTAAAAGGGTAACGACAGCAATTATAAAGTAAAAAGAACATAGTTTAGGATTTTCATAATTTGAACTGGTTCTGAGAAGTATCAAGAAACATCATCTCGGCAATGTATGGTGACAAATCAGTATTTTTTTTCATTATTATTATTATTTTTTTTTACTAAAATATAGTTGGCGTACACTATTAAATCTGTTTCAGGTGTAAAACATTTGTGATTCCACATTTCTAAACCTTATAATGTGATCATCACCCTAAGTCTAATAAGCATCTGCCACCATGCAAAGCTATCACAATATTATTGATTACATTCTGTTTCACCTTCTTAATTTTACAAAGCAGACTGTTCTTTTTTGTTAATATTATACCTTAATGAACTTAGGGAGGTCAATATTCGGGAAGGATATCTTAGATTTCTAATCATTTGGACTCATTTTTCATCAGGCACTTTTCATAGCTTGACAGCTACAAAAATAATCTAACCCAAAATATTTGCCTCAGCAGCATCAAAGAAATAATGCAATCCAAATATAGAAGAATGGAAAGAATAATAAACATCAGTTTAAAATAGTAGTAATATTCTTTAAAGAAAAAATAGATAAAAGCAGGTTTACCTCATTGGTTTCTTTGGTGAAAATATCACGTTGAAGTCCAATGTTATCACTTGAGTCTTGATATTGTAAGATCTCTTCATCAAATATACAGCCACACAGGGCTGTAAGTCAACTCTTACTTCGTCAGATTCATATAGAATCTCATATTCAAATTCACGTTTTATAGGTATTCCTAGGAAAATCAAGATTAAAGTGCATTTCAATTTAAGTAAATATTAATAGATTGGATATCAGTTACATGTCAACAATAATGATGCAGAGGTATTTAGAAGGAGGGAGAGAGCAGATATTATTGAGCTTTGGTTTCATAATACCAAGTGTATTACCAGGTACATAATAGTCCTAAATATGTTTTTGTTAAAAGGTAAATAAATGAATGAATATAAAAAACAATCACCAAAGATAATTCTCATCATCCTTAAATCTTTAAAATTCAGACTTATAAAATAAGAAATAGCCAAATGGAAATGAGTAGTCAATATTTACTGTAAAGTACAAATAGTATGACATGCTCTATATAATAAATGTACTAAAAGCTTATAGACATAATTTATAAAGATTTGAATTAAGTTTAAACAATACATAAGCCAGTCAGAGAAAGATAAGTACCACATGATCTCACTCATATGTGGAATCTAATGAACCAAATAAACTAATGATCAAAAATAGACCCAGAGACATTAGAAGCATGAACAGAATGTTGAACCTCAGAGGGAAGGCAAGGGAGGGTGGGTGAAAAGAGATAAACCAATGAACTTGTATGCATATATGCATAACTTGTGGACAAAGACAATGGGATGGTGAGGGCTTGGGGTGTGGGAATGGGCTGGAAGAGGTTACTGGGGGGAAAAAGAGGACCTATGCAATACTTTCAACAATAAGGATTTTTGGGAGATCCAAGATGGCGGTCAATGGGACAGCAGGCTGCAAGATAGTGTGTGAGAGAGTGAAAGGAGAGTGTGTGGATGTGTGGAGAGTGTCTGTATTTATGAGTGATAGACAGCTGCAAACCCACGAACACTGACCCTCCAGCCTCCCCGGCCGTGGGTGCATAAAAAGTTTGTTCAGAGGGAAACAAAGCAGTGCCAAATATGCGGATGGGCCCTGTGCCTTTTCACAGAGCAGATAGAAGGTACAGCTGAGTCGAACAACATCCACCCAGAATTGGTGAATTAAACACAACTGGTGAGGTAATCCATGGATGGAAATGTCAGAGATCGCCTAGAGAGAGCTCTGCCTCCTCGGATTCAGTTGGGTGTTTGTTGTTTGGGTATTTGTTGTTTGCATTTTTTGGATTAGTTGTTGTTTGTTGTTTGCATTTATCTCAGAGTATTTGTTGTTTGCATTTTTTAGATTAGCTGTTGCTTTTTTGCAGTTTTTCCCCCCAAATAAATATATTTGTTCCCCTTCTTTTTTCTTCTCTTTTTTTTCCTCTCTTACATTTTACCTTTTCTCAATATCATTTTTGCACTGTTTTTTCTCCCCTAATTCTCTTTTATCTGGTGGTCACCTTTATTCAGGGGTTATTGGTATCCTGAATACACTTATGTTTGGTGCCCTGGGCATTGTGTCTTGTCATGTTATATTTTGTGCCTTTAAGTCAATGCAGGAGAGAGAGAGCTACATGACCAGACACCCTGACAGGAGCAAATATGGGGAGACAAAGAAACAGCCCCCATATGAAAGAAAAGGAGGCATCACCAGAAAAGGAAGTAAACGAAATAGAGGCAAGCAATATGTCAAAATAAGAATTCAGAACAATGGTCATAAGAACACTGAAAAGGATAGAAGACAAATTCAACAATATGTGTAAGAACCAAGAGGAAATGAAGAAGAAGAAATGAAAAATGACATCGCTGCAATAAAGAACTCAATAGAAAACATCAACAGTAGGCTAGAAGACAAGGTAGGAAAAAATACACAAGCAGAACAGCTTCTGGAAAAAAAATTAAAAAACAGGAGGAGAGCATAAGGGAGCTTTGGGACAACACAAAATGAAAGAACATCCACATAATAGGGGTACCAGAAGGAGAGGAAACAGAGCAAGGAATAGAAAACCAGTTTGAAGAAATAATGACAGAAAACTTCCCTGATATAGGGAAGAAAAAACTCACACAAATCCAAGAAGCTCACAGAGTCCCAAATAAAATGAACCCCAAAAGGTCAATGCCAAGGCACATTATAATTAAATTGGCAAACACCAACAACAAAGAATATTAAAAGCAGCCAAAGACAGAAAGTTACCTACAAAGGATCTCCCATCAGACTAGCGACTGATTTCTCAACAGAAACACATCAGACCAGAAGAGAATGGAATGATATATACAAAGTCATGCAAAGCAAGGGTCTAAATCCAATAATACTATACCTAGCAAGGCTATCAATAAAAGTTGAGGGTGAATTCAGGAGCTTCACAGACAAAAAAGGAACAAGGGAGTTTATTACCACCTAACCAGCAAAGCAAGAAATGCTAAAGGGCCTGCTATAAAAAGAAGAAATTGGAAGGGAAGAAGGAACACAGGCATAAAGAATAAAAATGGTGACAAACCAGTACCTATCAATAATAACTTTAAATGTAAATGAATTAAATGCCCCAATAAAAAGACATAGGGTAGTTGAGTGGATAAGAAAACATGACCCATATATCTGCTGTCTACAGGAAACCCACCTTAGAAGAAAGGACTCACACAGACTGATGGTGAAGGGATGGAAAAAGGGTTTTTAGTGACTGGAAATGAAAAAAAGCTGGGGTAGCAATACTTATATCAGACAAATTAGACCTCAAAGTGAAGACCATAATAAGAGATAAGGAAGGCCACTTCATAATACTAAAGGGAGCAATTCAATAAGAAGATATAACTCTGGTAAACATATATGCACCCAATACAGGAGCACATAAAAAAAAAATTCTGGAGGATATCAAGGGAGAGATTTACAGCAATACAGTCATAGTAGGGGACTTTAATACCCCACTAACACCACTGGACAAATCCTCTAAATAAAAAATCTGCAAAGAAACAGCAATCCTAAAAGACTCACTAGATCAGATGGAATTAATTGACATCATCAGAACATTCCACCCCAAAGCCACAGAATATACATTCTTCTCAAGTGCACATGGGTCATTTTCAAAGAGAGACCACATACTGGGGCACAGGCAAAGTCTTTTCAAATTCAAGAAGATAGAAATCATATCAAGCATCTTCTCAGATCACAATGGCATAAAATTAGAAATCAACTACAATAAAAAAATCAAACATCTGGAGGCGAAATACCATGTTTTTAAATAATGATTGGGTTACCAAAGAGATCAAAGAAGAAATTAAAAGCATCATGGCAACAAATGACAATGAAAACACAACAATCCAAAATCTATGGGACACAGCAAAAGCAGTCTTGAGAGGGAAGTTCACAGCTCTGCAGGCCTATCTCAACAAAAAAAGAAAAGATGGTAATAAAATATCTAACCCTACCACTCAAAGAGTTAGAAAGAGAGCAACAAGAAAAGCCCAGTGTAAGCAGAAGGAAGGAAATAATAAAGATCAGAGAGGAGATAAATGACATAGAGACCAAAAAAAAATACAAAAGATCAACAAACTCAAGAGCTGGATCTTTGAAAGGATAAACAAGATTGATGAACCTCTAGCCAGGCTCACCAAGAAGCAAAGAGAGAGGACCCAAATAAACAAAATCAGAAATGAAAGAGGCAAAGTAACAACCAATCCCACAGAAATACAAACGATTATGAAAAAATATGATGAACAACTCTATTCCAACAAAATGGACAACCTAGGTGAAAAAGACATATTCTTAAAAAAATAGAAGCTCCCAAAACTCAATCAAGAAGAATAAAAAAACCTGAATAGGCCGATAACTACCGAAGAAATTGAAGCAGTGATCAAAAATCTTCCAGCAAACAAAAGCCCTGGTCTGGATGGCTTTACAGGGGAGTTTTTCAAGCATTCAAAGAAGAACTAAAACCTATCCTCCACAGACTACTTCAAAAAATTCAAGAGGAAGGCATACTTCCAAGCTCTTTCTAGGAAGCCCTCATTACCCTAATTCCAAAACCAAATAAAGACACCACAAAAAAAGAGAACTACAGGCCAATATCCTTGATGAACATAGATGCTAAAATCCTCAACAAAATTCTAGCAAATTGAATTCAGCATTGCATTAGAGAGATCATACACCATGACCAAGTGGGATTTATTCCAGGGATGCAAAGATGGTACAATATCCGCAAATAAATAAATGTGGTATATCACATAAACTGAGAGACAAAAATCACATAATCATATAATCAATGCAGAAAAAGCCTTTGACAAATTCCAACACCCTTTCTTGATAAAAAAACTCTCAGCAATGTGGGAATAGAAGGACCATACCTCAACATAATAAAAGCCTTATATAACAAACCTATAGCCAACATCATACTCAATAGATAAAAACTAAACTCATTTCCCCTAAGAAGAGGAACAAGTCAGGGATGCCCACTTTCACCACTCCTGTTCCATATAGTACTGGAAGTGCTAGCCATAGCGATCAGACAAGAAGATGAAATAAAAGGCATCCAAATTGGAAGAGAAGTAAAATTGTCCTTATTCGCAGATGACATGATACTATACATAGAAAACCCAAAGACTCTATCAAAAAACTACTGGAACTACTAAGTGAACTTGGCAAAGTAGCAGGATATAAAATTAACACCCAGAAATCTATGGCCTTTTTATACACTAATAATAAACTCACAGAAAGAGAAGTGAAAAAAAAATCCATTTACCATTGCACAAAAAAATTTAAGATACCTAGGAATAAACTTAACTAAGGACGTAAAATAAAACTTAACTAAGGACGGAAAACTATAGGACATTGAAAAAAGAGATAGAGGAAGACTTGAACAAATGGAAGAATATACCATGTTCGTGGGTTGTTTGAATCAACATCTTTAAAATGTCCACACTACCCAAAGCAATCTATAAATTCAACACAATCCCCATTACAATACCAATGGCATACTTCGAAGACCTAGAACAAACTCTCCAAAAATTCACCTGGAATAAAAAAAGACCCTGGATAGTTGCAGCAATCTTGAGAAAGAAGAACAATGTAGGTGGGATCACAATACCAGATATCAAGCTATACTACAAAGTCACTGTTCTTAAAACTGCC